CATTTAGTGTCTCTTTGAGGTAATTTTGCATTTGTTGTGGCCATTTTGTGTCCCTTCGCGGTAATGTTGTGTCTCTCAGAGGTACGTTTCTCCTCAAAATCATTTTGTGACTTTTTAAGTCATTTTGTCTTATTTGAGGTGATTTTGTGTCTCTTAAAGACCATGTTGTGTCTCTCTGAGGTGATTTTGTGTCTCTGAGGTATGTTTTTGTCTCTCTGAGGTAGTTTTGTGTAGCTTTACGGTAATTTTGTGTCTGTTTGAGGTAATTTCAAGTCTGCAATAACGTTAGGCCTAATTATGTATCTCTTTAAAGTCATGTTGTGTTTCTCTGATGTAAATTTGTGCCGTTTCAATAATTGTGTGTCTCCTAGGTAACAGAGTAGCTTACTTAGTGTAAAATGCTGCTTTAGAGGCTTTTTCAAATGGTCTCTAAGTGCATCTTTTCACACGTTTAGTCATTTAAATCAGAACAAACTTTCTGTCGGAGAGACAAGCAGCACAAAACTTTCACTCGACGTTTTTTCTGGAAAACACACCACAAACTGAGACCTTTTGCTCCTGGACCTCATCTTAAGACCTGCTGTCACTGACAAACGGACTGCTTTAAGGTAGACGTGAGATCTTGACACTTTTTAAAATCCATGTTGTTTTCGATGTGTTTACCGTTGAGACTTTGCAACAAATGTACCGACGTAGGCCAAATATTACTAATACTGGCGATATTTTGCCTACATCAGTACTATTTTAGAATAAATGAATCAAATTGGACTGACGTTTGACTGTTACCAAGTCTGAATAAGTTTATCTGAAGCTACTTTCTTTGGTTCACCAACTGTCTGTTTTATCTGTCCAACAAATAGCCTAGCATAAACATGCTAATAAAAATGTAGCCTAGCTTATACATTATTTAACTTCTTGGTGATATAGGCCATCAGTGATGCAAACAGTGACACAAGCATTGAAGCCTTATTATTTGATATTGCTCATAATTCAACCATTTTCTCAATATTTAGGATATTGTTCAATTATGAGTATCGTTTAAATATCTTTATGTCATCATACTGTGAGAGCAACAGAGAGGTGTTAACTGCAGAGAGAGATAGATTTTTCTCATATGGTGCTGGCTTTTTCTCATTCAGCAAAAGAGATTTAAATTGGCATATTGTTGAATATCTGGCAAAAATGTCACTCTGTAAAAGACAGATATGTCTACTGTATGCACGGGCAGATTATGAGAGAATGGGCCCCTGGGCACAGATATGCAAAAGGCCCCACCACCTCTCCTACATAAGAGCAAGACACACAGAGTTTGTGGTGTTTTTGTCTGTTTTCTGTTGTTTGCGTCTCTCTAAGATAATCTTGTGTCTCTCTGAAGTCCTTTAGTGTCTCTTTGAGGTAATTTTGCATCTGTTTTGGCCATTTTGTGTTCCTTCGCGGTAATTTTGTGTCTCTCTGAGGTCATGTTGTGTGTAGTTGAAGTCAATTTATGTCATTTTAGTTAGGGCTGGACGATTATGGCAAAAATAGTAATCACGATTATTTTGACTGATATTGAAATCACGATTAATAAACACGATTATAAGTTGGTCGTGTTGCCTTGGGGGGCAGACACCACAGCGTGACAAACTTTGCAAACAATTTCTTTTTGCTCGACTTGTCAACTTGAAGCCAAAATGTTTCCAGATGACTGAAGTTGTCCTACCTTTCTTCTCAACCAAAGGCTGCCTTTCTGCCATGTTCTCAATCGCTCGCTCCACATATTATTGATCCACACACGTCACAGGCTTGCTGCTGCTGCACGTAACACAGGTGCATTCACGGTGCTTTTCCAGCACAGGAACTTAGATACACGGCACGCCGTGTGGTGCATTAATCGTTTTTCTTCGATTATAATGTTTTTATGATTGTGAGAATCCAAAATTGAAATCATGATTAAAATTCGATTAATCGTCCAGCCCTAATTTTAGTCACATTGTGTCTCTCTGAGGTCATTAAGTGTCTCTGAAAGGTCATTTTGACTCTATGAGTTCAGTTTGTGTCATTGTATTATTTTTTTGTCTCTGAGGCTATTTTGTGTCTCCTAGGTAATGCTGTGTCTCTTGATGGTCATTGTGTATCTTGTTAAAGTCAATTTATGTCATTTTAGTCATGTTGTGTCTCTCTGAGGTAATTAAGTGTCTCTCTGAGGTCATTTTGAGTCTGTTTGGGGTCGATTTGTGTCTATTTTGGTTGTTTTGTGTCTTTTGTCTCTTTTGTAGTTTTTGTGTCTCTTTGCAGTTCCTTAGCATCTTTTTGTGTTGTGCAGCTGCCGCCTCCACCTGTCACTTGTTGAGTTAAAACAGGGATCCTATACAGCTCACAGCTCGGCCGCTCCAGCTGAAAGCCTCTGCCAGCAACCCGCAGCCCTTGCCTGCAGGTCTGGCAGATCCGCTCAGCTTCTCCATCTCCAGCCTCCGTCAGGAACCTACAGTATGGGTGTTGTACTTTTTCAATTGTGTACAGCAGTGGGGATGAAGTAGATGAGGACAGCGCAAGCTGCAGCCGCGAGGACAGTGAAAGCGCTGGCCGCCACAAGAAGGAGTGATTTATACATTGTAGTGCAGCCTCATTTTCTAACTGGTCAAAACTGTTCTACAAAGCCTGAATGTACCAGGCACTCTTTATTTTGTTAGCTTTTATTTTTTACTTAGTTTAACACTCGGACTGCCCTGGATTACAGTGCCCCTCCAAGCGCCGCAACCTTCCGCCAGACCGTAATATGTAACTTCATTGTTTATGCTGCCCATGTGCTCCGAAGCACACAAAAAATGCAGTTTTTGAGTAATTTCCGTGAATTTATGATAAAATAAAAAAAATATTACAGACTATAGAATATGACTGACAACCTGTCCAGTGTCTCATGTCAATGCGGTATAAATGGTATAAATGCTCAGAAGTCTAGTGTGTTTAATTTTTGTAACTTATAGGCTTCAGAAAACGTACAAGACACATTTTTAGGACAAGTCATAGGAAGAGAAGCTTGTAGGTTTTATCTAAACAGAGGTATTTGCATTATAAAAACCCAAACGGTCTGTCAGACCGTCGTGGCGGTTCTAGGACAAGTGCACTTATATTTATCAATTCCATAAAATAAAACGAGAAATTGGAGAAGATTCAAAAAATTGTTAAAATTAACTAAGGGAACTGATCACAGATGTACTGCCTCTGTGTGTTTTTACATCTATTGTTGCTTTTTTTTTTTTTCTTGATAGACTGATTTTTTATGTGGATACATTGCGTGGCAGAGCGCATAAACAAACACTCTGGAGGAGGTATGTGCTCTCAAATCAAACTTTTTTGAAGGATTACTAGTTTCCCTGAAGTGTCTTGAAACGAATTTCACCGCTGATTGTTTTCTTGATAGACTCTGATTTTTTATTTGGCTACTTTTTGTCCAACGTGGCCAAACAATTGAGAGCGGTGACACACGGTCCGTGCGAATGAAGTCAGAAAGAAGGAAAACTGTTTCTAAACCTTTTGATGATGTTTTTGGATGTTTATTTGTGAATGAAATGGCAAGTTCTGACGAGTCAAAAACAACTCCTGTTAAAGACATGGATGAGGCTGCAGCCCGTCTGCGCTCATCTAGAGTATCATACCTTGATGAAGTGAAAGGGATAAAGATAAAATGATAACCCTTTTACTTTTATTATTATTATCTTATGCCAACTGAAGAATTAAATCTGTTTATTTGGGAGTTTTAGCTCTTTTCTTTCTTTTTCTCTGGAGCGGAAACTGACGCAAATGAGCTCATTAATCATGAAATAGCATACAATTAAAAATCCTTACCTTTTTATTCATTTTAGCTCTCTCCAAACAGGTGCTGCAGCTGCAGAAAGAACAGCTCTGGTCGCTGGGTCCTCATTTGACGCTCCAGAAATCGAGACGAGGTCGGAGTTGAGGCGTCAAGGCAATTAGACGCGTCAAAACGCTTTTAGTGCATGTTTGGCCATTTTAAACAATGAGTGTACTTCAAAACGCGTGCGTCAGACGCTTATAGTGCGTTTGGGCCTAAAAGTGTGGTTTGCCTCCAGGTGCATCATTTAGACACAAGATCATCATTTTAACACAAACGAACCCGACAGTGGTCAGAAAAGTTTTCTCTCACCTCTCACTCAACGATTTCATCCAACTTGATGCTTCTGCTGAGGACTTGTTGCATCCTGACAAGGCCTTAACTCTCAGGACAGTGACTCAACCAACTTCCATCATGGAGACTGTAAGATTCGAACACTGACTGTTTTTCTGTGTTTTACCGTCGAGGCTTTGAAAGCCCTCAGAGTTCACACATACATTGTTAACAGGCTTTTGAATTGAAACTCTCAAAATTTGACATTTTAATATCAAAGAGGTGAACTCAGAACAAAAAAAAATAGATACATGGTTTTCAAAGTACTATATTAGTAAGACTTTATCTGGATAGTCCACCTACAGATAGTTTACAGAGGATCTGTAACATTTCAACAGCTTATTTTTTGAGATTCAAGTAGTGGCTGTTAAAATCAAAATACTTATTTCTCTTATTTGCTTTCATACACTCCTCCCCACCCTGTAGATCACATGGTACACAGCATATATTAGAGTGGGAATATTTATATTAAAATACTATTTATTAACCTCAGGGAAGACTGTACCAGATCAATTCATCTGTTCATTTAAAAATAAACAAAAACATTCAAAATGGCCGCCTCACTGAAAAATAATTGAATCAACTTTTGTGTCTCATAAAATAATTTATATCACAAATGTATATCAGCCAGCTTCCAGCTGGGGTACAAAGTAATATTGTGAGTTTAAGTGTAGCCATGAGTCCAACTCTGAAGTACATGAATTTACTGTGTGATTCCCAGCAGATATGTGAACGTAGTAATTTGTGGTAATTTAAGGAACAAAAACTCAGTTTGTTGGAAGGAGTAATTGGCCCATGAAGAGTAATGTCATTTTCTCCAGGAAAGCTGAATTTGAAAATGGGACATGAAAGTCTCATCATTAAGTGCTGTTTGTTGCATTTACTGTACTTGTGAAGTCTCATACTAACATGACTGTGTATTGCAGCCTTCTGCACACAGGTCACAGAGAGCCAGGAGGCCTGCAGCCCACAGACAGTGCCCACACTGCAGGGACGACCAGGTCAGACATTTCACTTTTATATTTTGGATAGAAAAAATGTTTATGTCACAAACTGTTTTAGATGTAATTAGACAGCTTATAGAGTATTTAAAACACGTCAGACTACATTGTGAATACTGAACATTGTCAGTACAGCTCTCTTGCTTATTGGGCTCATTTACATCACAGTAACTTTCCTGTTCAGTTCCCATCAAAGTTGACAAAATAGTCCTCTGCACTGCATCTGATGTCTTTGTCTCTTGTGAGATTATAACAGCATGTTGTTAAATAAGAACCTGACTGGAGCCTGACATCCTCTCATGTGTTGCTGACCTTCCCCAGGTGCCAACTTCAGGGCCACATCACCAGCACTCTGCTGGTCCTGCTGGAAAGCATCCCCAGAAGAGGAAGCGCACCTCCGTGGCTCGTCCTTCCGAACCTTTGGAAGCTCCAGAGGTGGTCACATCTGTTGCCACTCCTGAGCCCTCCACCTCAGCTGCTAACATGGCTTCTGTTTTGAATTTGGTCCCTAGGCCTTCTGCGACCATCTCATCATGCTCCAGTGTGGCCCCCAGCTCCCAGCCCTCCACTGCTCCGCTGCCTGACGATGGCCCCCTGCTGATCCACAACAGCACTGTGGAGGAATACCAGTGCATCTACCATGAAGTTGTGGATGACATGCTGAGGTATGTTTCAGTCAAAATCATCAATCTGCCAGTGAAGTTTTTTAATCACGTTTCTTTATGATTTCTGTTTCTTCTGCTCCTCACAGGGACCCGGATGGCCGCCTGCGTCCTTACAGTCTGGCACTGGGGAGGCGCATCAAGCAGAGGCTGTGGGAGCGCCTGGAGCGTCCAACACTCACCGAATCAGTCAGTGAGGACGGACTGGTTCGTGTTGGCGCGTCAGACGGGGTTGAAGACCATCCTCCCCTGTATGGCGTCAGGTGAACCAAAGCCCCGCAGACCGCCACAGAAACGAGCTAAGCACTGAATATTACTCGTGTCAGCTCAGTTATGTAAATAGTTTGTAGTTTAAGTTTTGTAGTTTAAGGTTAAGTTTTGTAGTTTAAGTTAGGTTAAGTGTTGCAGCTGTGTTCTGCAAGATGACAAACTCCTCTCCACTTCTGTCACATAGCCATTTACTGCCTCCATCCTCTGCCTACAGGTTTTACCAGCGAATTGCTACCACATGCTCCACCTACAGACGTTGGACAAACATCTCCACCAGCAGCCTCTGAAGTTTCCTGCTCCACCTTACATTCATAGCCTCTAACAGCCACAGTCAGATTCAAGTTCTGCCATCCACAGCCTCTGCCAACAACCTGCACCTCCACCTGCAGATTCTGGCAGACTGCCGTGGCCACACCGCCTCTAAACTGTCCTGCTCCACCCTATACCAAAAGACCGTTACAGCTACGCTCAAGTTTAAACTGGCCAAACCTCCACCTACAGCCTCTGCCAGCAACATGCAGTCACTGCCTCCACCTGCAGATTCTGGCAGACTGCTATGGCCAAACCTCCACCTATTACAGCCTCTGCCAGCAACCTGTTGTTGCTGCCTCCACCTGCAGATTCTGGCAGAGAGCTGCGGCCAAACCTCCATCAACCACCTCTAAAGTGTCCTGGCTGCTCCACCCTGTACCAAAAGAGAGTTACAGCCATTCTCAAGTTTAAACTGGCCAAAACACCATCTACAGCCTGTGCCAGCAACCTGCAGTCACCGCCTCCACCTGCAGATTCTGGTAGACTGCTGCGGCCAAACCTCCACCTATTACAGCTTCTGCCAGCAACCTGCTCCTCTTCCTCCACCTGCAGATTCTGGCAGATGGCTGTTGTCAAACTATCTCCAACAGACTAAACCAGAGTCCTTCACTGATGCCTCCACCTGCAGATTCTTGCAACAACTGTAGCTCCATCTCCACCCTCCTGCAGCAACCTGCACCTCAGACTCCAATCCTTTTGCCATGTGAAGACCTCAGTGGAACAGCAGAGACCAGAGATCCACTTGTAAATACAACCATTCAGATAACATGTAACAATGCTGTGTAATAGTAGCCTGGGTTGATAAACTAAAGCCATCTGTCTGTTTACATCTTCCTCTTCTTCTTACAGGTATTTCCATACGCTGTGTAAGGTCTTGCTATGTGGTCTTCTTCAGGCCCCGTGGGACCTCATCGACTCCCAGATACATCAGGAGCTGATCGAGCCCCCCTCCCCCTCCCCCACTTCTTCTTCTCCCCTCTCTTTAAACCAACCCGTCGAGGCAGACGGCCACCCACCACAGAGCCTGGTTCTGCTCGAGGTTTCTGCCTGTTAAAAGGCAGTTTTTCCTTGCCACAGTGCTTGCTCGTGGTGGGAATTGTGGAAATTAGTTGGTTTTTTGATTAGTGTTCAGAGATAATTTTTGTGATCTGTTGCTATATTATTAAATTGGCTTGAGTTGAATTTGCTTAAAAATGCCTGTCTCTCAGTGTCTTATAATGTTAGAAAGTTACAACAGTTAGAAATGTTGCAGTGTGATTAAAAAAGAGTTTTTCAGCTCCTAATAATCCATCGGCAAAAGCTCATCAGTCCGGTGTAGTCATACAAATGTTTGAAAATGTATCAATATTACTATTTATTTAAAAAACCAACTGAACTTCTAAAAACCTCCTGCACAAAAGCAGACAACACTTTGTGTCATTTCTTACCAACAAATAGTGACAAAACAAGAAGTTCAGAGATGGTTCAAAGGAATGATTTAGTGAGGTGAAATAAATAATACACAGAATCTACAATATCATATACTACACTGGGCGCCCTGATTATTGAGCTCCTACACAACATAGCCTTTAACAGAAGTGAGGAATAGTGAACATTAAATGTATAAACTTGTAAAACATGTATATGGACTCTAATATTTTAATTAGTTTTGAGCCACGTTTAAACATGGAAATACATTTTTTTCTGACACAGATTAGGAATGTAAGGTTATTATTTGGAGTATCTACACTTTTTCCTCTGCCTGGTGCTTTTTACATCCCACTGAAGGCTCCAGGTTGCTTCTCTTGACCCTGCTTACATCACAGCACTATACCCACTCTTTAAATCCTAACTCCACCACAGGCTCAGGGAGTGTCCCCAAAATTCTGAACTGGGCATTAACACCTGTTACCAATCTGGTAAGGAGGAAGTTTGTGTAATTAAACAACTCACTTTTTCATTGCAGTTAATCTGTGTGGATCTGATAATTGGATTTTGCAGTAACTGTCAGCCTGTTTGTTCTGGCTCTTTAAATAGCAGCCAAAAATAGGTCTACAGTACTTCTTTGGTCAAGCAAATCTCATATCAAACCATAGTAAACTGAGATTAAATCTATGCATATGTATAATGTAAAACAAGGCTCAACAGCAAGACTGCATATTTAAATTTAACCTTTACTCACTGAAACCTTAATGCAGCCTTTAACACACTGACAGCCTTCTGGCTAATATGGACAGTGCTCTTTTGGTGATCAGACCACATGTTAAGACAGAACACAATTTAAATTTGTTAAAAAAGACTTTATTTTCTTTTTCTGTTTCATAAAAAGGCAGTAAAAATTGTGTAAAAAATACTGTAAACCCTAAAATTCAATAAAAAGGATAAAATTCCACAGAATCAATGATCACTCAGCACATCTCCTTAAAAATTGTTTTTTTTTTTTTTTTTAAAGGAGCGAGCATCTTCTCAGCAGCAATAGAGAACGCTCCCCCTACATTTAAAACCGGACAAATCCCTTGAGGGAACAAAGAAGCAATGAGTCTCAGAGACACTGCAAGGCCTCTGCTCTTTCCAGGGACTTTCAAAGGACCTGTTAAAGACAAAGAGAAGATTTTAATCATCTACACAGCTACAGTCAAGGCTAACACTTGTCTGCATCATCTTTTAAAACTGACCATAAAAGTCTGGTAAGCTGGAGTTCAATGTGCCAACAGCACCTACACAGTTCTGACAACCTAAGAAGAGAAACACAAGTGAGATCTCGGACACACCAGTGCTTACATGCACAGTGGATAACACACATGCAAGACTAACTTTATACTACAAAAATATCATGCAACTCAAGCTGAAGGGTTTTTGTCCACCAATGGGGTGTTTTACCTCTTTGAGTGCAACTACTAATTTTCATTAATCTACATTCTACAGAAAATTATCAAGATGGAAATTGGTAAGTATTGAGTGAAATGAATGGACCAGTATTGGTTTTATTTGAGCAAGAGTTGCATCACAACCATTTCTGATTGTTTTGTACGGCTTATTTTGCTCGGAAATAACTACAGATAGCATAATTTTGTACTTCAATGTTTTTGATATGTTTTGGATGACTTGCATTACTTGATGTTTTGCACAGAAAAGAAAACAAAAATCTAACAAATGAGTGTTGGGGTTAGTTTTACCTTCTTGTGGCGATCTTTAGGCTTTTAGAATCCTCTCCTCTGCGATTTTTTTCTTTTATAAAAACCAGCCAGCATGACTTTGCATCAAAGTCAAGTAAGATCCCTGCAAGCTTGATTTGAAACTGTTGAAATTCAGTTATTTCAAGTGGCTGAAGATACATTGCTCTCTTGAGAGCTTGAATAGATACACTAACTAAAGGTTAATGACAATACATGTTCAAGCACTATATCATTCTCAAATCAAACATGTATTTGGCAGCACATTACCTCAAGGAATGATGAGCTTTATTTTTTTTGAAGGTGACATAACAAGTGTCATTTAGGTAGGTTTTGAAAAACAGACGAAGAGGATCAGCTCATTGTCCAAACACTGCTTTTGTTTTTTGTCGTCAGGCTGACGTGTATACATACAGCTTATTCAGCGTTGTTGAGAACCACTGAGGACCACTTTCACAAACTGAAGGCATTCCTTTGGTACAACAAAGGCAAAATACCATGTTTAGATTGATTAAAAAGAAACTAGAAACTTTATTGAAACACGCACTGCAGAAAAACATTTTGGGATATATTTAGTATCCTATTTAGCCAAAGGTACACAAGCATTATGCATTTTGGAGACGGTACGGCTTAAAGCATACACAGTTGTCCTAAGGTTATGTACAAAATATTGAGTTGGCTGCAGCTTTCCTCACACACAGTAAGGACTGTTAATCCTTCAAGCTTTACAAGAATTAGTCGATCATCAGAGTCGATTTTCCAAGTAATAGTCCGACAGATTGTAAATACCAATTGTAAAGTGTGGCAGAATAGAAGCATTTGTCTTTGTCAAATTGACTTCAAAAGTTTTTAGGAGATTCTACAACTTCACACAACACTAGATTTGAATTGTGGTATAAAGAAGTAAATGATAAGACTTTTGTTTTTTTAATCAAAACGGCTGTATTTGAGTTGGTGACTAAATCTATTCTAGTTATAGTGAGGTCACATTGAGGCATTATGAATAATTTTTGTCCAGTCATGAAGGACTTTTAAAATGCAGCCTACATGGGAAATTTATCGCCACAGTCACATTTTGTTCATGGAAAATTAACTTAAATAGTAACCATCAAATATCACTAAAATGTTACTCTTGATCCTTTATGTTTTTGTCACTAGGACCTGCCAACTACGCAAATGAAACAAACATTAAATGGAAACAGGTAAACAATGAAAAACCTTCTCCATGTTTCTTCCCTGTCACTCTAAAGATACATCCAACAAAATGTCTCTACTGAGTTTAAAAAACAAAAATAAAACAAACAATAAAAAAAAGGGAACAAACGAGAGGGGAAATTACTTTTGAAAAGTTCAGCGAGTTACAATCGGAGACAGTTGCCAAAGCAACTCTCTACCAGTGGCCGTTCAGTATCTTCCATAAGGATGCTCTCTATAGGCTCCTTTTGATTGCCTGGCTGCTGGGGCTTTGCCTCCTGCCCCAGAGTTAGACCATGAGTTGTCCCAATCATCTTGAGCTACAAGGACAGAGAGGAAAGACACAGGAACAGGACACTGGTTAATATTCTGAGGGAGGTAGACAGGGGGTCCAATCATCAGTGAATGTGTGTGCTATGCAGTAAGACAAAAATGGACAACAAATTTTTCTTACCATAAGGCTCATATGCTGCTTCCTGGGCCTCTCCGTGTCCGTAGTCGTAATATTCAGTGTCCCTGTGGGCAGGAAAGAAGTGTTAATACAGCACTTCACATGTAGTAAAGATTAACTGGGCAGATAGTCATTCAATATAGTTTAAACTTACGCAGGTGCAGCTTGCTGATTATAGTAACTGTCATATCCTTCGTAGGCAGGCTCTGCGTATTGTTCTTCATATGGAGGCTAGAAAGAAAACAAATTTATAGTTATATAGACATAGTTATTATAGACAATGTCAGGTGAGTCACGACCACTGCTATCAAAGAACCCACACTACATCAAGCAAGACATCACTACCATTCACTAAAAGGCAATCCATGTGAAAAGTAGAATCCAGGGGGGAGTGGAAACTTACATAGTCTTCATAGGCATCGGCTTTGGGCTGTGATCCTGAAGAAGGACCCTGGTGTTGCTGGTGAGACATGGCTGCAGCTGGGAGCATCCTTGGAGCCCCTGCTGCAGGGGGTCTGGAGCGGGGAGCTGAGCCTCCCCTGTTGGGAGCAGAGGCTAGTCCACCCCTACCAGATGGTGCACCTCTAGGACCGTTGCCCCGTCCCAATCCTCCCCGTGGGCCTCCACCACGCATTGTTCCTCGAGGGGCCCCACGTGGCATCCCACGCCCCCTGTGGAGAATAAGCAGAGTTGTAAAATGTGATCAACCACAAAACTGATAAACAAGAGGCTACTTGGTGATAATACAATAGCAGTGCATAAAAACAGTGTCTGCATGGTGTGAGCATTTTGGGACATGGTTCCAATGAGTGTGTTTGCAGATATTAACAGGCCAATGCAGTGTGGTAACAGATGATTCTACAACATGCAAGGAGTCAGTATCATTGTCAGTATGAATCAGGGTCCTACCTTGGTCCTCCAGCACCAGGTGGTCCACCTCTGCCCCGTCCCATATGACCACCGCGCCCCCTGCCTGAACCATCCTGGGATCCATTCAGGAAGTGAGGATCCATGTATGGGTCATGCTCACCAGGTTCCTATGAACAAGACAAAAACAGTCAATTATGCATGACATTCCCCTGTGGCAGGAGGAGAACATGCATATGCATGTTATATGCATGGCATATAACATGCATATGCATGGCATATAAGGAATGCAAATCTTAAGTACTACGTATACAAACTGTTTCAGTGATTGTGATGCAAGAGGCACATACCGGGATAAGGAACTTCTTGACCTCCTCCATGGCATGAGCCATGCGCATATAGGCTTCTGGTATGGGTGCCATCACCTCAATGAACACATGCAGCTCCATGGCCAGGTGAGCATACTTGGCCTCACCACCCTTCCTCAGTTCTTCCTCCTGGT